CTACGGCTGAAGGAAGAGTGAGCGGCCAAACTTGTCGCTAGGGGTGGCCCAAATTAATTCGGTCCAGTCTGGTCTTTTTGAAAATATAAGGACCAAAGATTGAATTGGATACAGTCCAGTCTTGATCCGGTCCAGTCCCAATTCGGTCTTGGTTTTATATGTAGTTTGTGGGGATTTAAGTGGCCTAAGGCCTGAAAGGGTGAGGAGTTGGTTAAGTTTTGTACTAAGTGCAAAGGTTTGTGACCGTTTATGCAAATTACCCTTAAGTTTTGGGTGTTGAGCTCTCTTATCTGGTCTTTATCCAGTTTTCGATCCGGTCCCGAACGGATTTTTACCTCAAATCTAAGCCCAAAGATTGGATTGGATTGTTTACTATCCAGTCCCGGTCCGGTCTCAGGTAAAACCAAAAAATCCGGACCAAATAGCCAACCCTACTTGTCGCGCGTAGGGACACGTCCGAAACTCATGATCTTGTGACTTAGAGTGGGACTTGCATCTTTGGCATGTTGTGTTATACGTCAGGTGTCTCCGCCGTCGCTCTTCGTTGTTGAGGAGTGCTCCATGTGATGTCATCCAAAGAAAATGGTGGACGCGGCTTGGCCCGAGCCATTTGCAAACTACCTTCCTTCCCGAATGAGCCTCATCTCCATTGATTGTTGCTGCGAGCTGGTAAGCTTATTTCAACATGAAATGGCCTCTCTCCTCCAATCTCCATACCAGCTCATCATCTCCAAGGTTGAGTTTGGCGATGGCATCCCCAACACCTGCATAAAAAAATCAGGTTGTAAGGTACGAATAGAAGAGTAGTGTTCCACTCGCCAGTAGGGGTCACATGCTCGCAACCGCGGCTTGCATGTCGATGTCTCCAGCTGCGGGCATCACGTGATCCACCAATAATACTCCTCCATCGACCCACTTGTCTTGCCAGAAGAGCGATTGAACATCTTCCCAGGTTCATCAAGTAAGATCCCAATAAGTGTCCTTAGTCGTCTCTAAGCACTCCAAATGCAGTGGTTGACCCTGATGATTGCCAGAGCAAACCATCAGAGTTCACTATGATCCATCCTGTCGGGGCAGGTTCCACCCAACAGCCACGTCTCGACCGACCTCGACCTTCCCAATGAAGGAGCTTGATCCGCTGCCATACTTTTATGCGTGATGACCTCCCAGCCAATGATCTTTTGCGAGAGCTTTTTGAGATCCTCCTCAATGGCTGAGAAAATGTAATCATTCCGCGAATGCCATAGGAACCAAACTGTAAAGCCAAACCGAACATGTAACTCAGGGCTAGTTAGGAAATGCTTGAACCAGCTATTGAAGTCCATGTTGTCCGTCTCTACTGCGGGCGAAGGAAGAGTGAGCGGCCAAACTTGTCCCGCATAGGGACACGTTCGGAATGCATGCCCTGGTGACTCGGAGTGGGAGTTGCACCATGGGCAGATTGTGTTATACGTTAGGTGTCTCCGCGGTTGCTCTTCGTTGGTGAGGAGTGGCCCAGGTCATGCCATCCAAAGAAAATGGCGAACGTGGCTTGGCCTGGGCCATTTCCAAACTACCTTCCATCCCAAATGAGTCTCGTCTCCATTGATTGCTGCTGCGAGCTGGTAAGCTTACTTCAACGTGAAATGGACTCTCTCCTCCAATCCCCATAGAAGCTCATCATCTCCAAGGTTGGGTTTTGGCAGTGGCATCCCCAACACCTGCATCAAAAAATCAGGTTGTAAGGTACGGGAAAGAAGAGCAGTGTTCCACTCACCAGTTGGGGTCACCATGCTCGCAACCGAGGCTTGCATGTAAATGACTCCAGCTGCGGGCAGCACGTGATCCTCCAATTCTACTCCTCCATCGACCTACTTGTCTTGCACAAAGAGGGTATTATTTTCGTTGCAGACCCTCCAGCGAACACCTTCCAGCATAAGATTCCACACTCGTCGGACACCGCGCCAAAGTTGTGAGCAACTCAAGTCCATTGGGACCCTCGTGCAAATACTTCTCCTTGAGGATCCAAACCCAAAGCTCGTTTGGGCTCTTGAGAATTCCCCAGGCTAGCTTCATGAAATAGGTTGTATTCAGGTCGCGAACATTACGCAGTCCTAATCCCCCTTGATCATTTGGTAGGCAAACGATTCCCCAATTGATCATGTGGATCTGTCTTCTTCCTGAGATCCCCAAATGAAAGCCCGAATCTTTCTGTCAATGTAGTTGCATATTCCCACCGGTAAGACTGTCATTTGCATAATGTAGGAAGGGATAGCGTTCAATATGGACAGGGCGAGAGTGACACGAGCGACAAGGGATAGATTCTCTGCTTTCCAACCTGCAAGACGCTGGTCAATATGATCAATAATATAAGTCTGTTTTGTTACTCTCCCATGGAGAACCGACACACCAAGGTAGCGCCCCAAGTCTTGCATCATCGGAATATGAAGGCGATCACTGATCTCGCAGCTAAGGTCGCACCTTGTATTCTTGGAAAAGAATACCCGCGACTTCTCCCGGCTAACCAGCTCCCCCGATGCCTCGCAAAACTGGTCCAAACATCCCATAATTACATTCGTCTGTTCAAGAGAAGCTTCAACAAAGAGAACCAGGTCATCTGCAAAAAAGAGATGAGTTAGTTTTGTTCTCCCTTGCACTAATCGAATTGGGGACCACCTTTTATCACCAACCACCTTCTGAATCAAGTGACTTAAACACTCAATACATAGGGTAAAGATGTAGTGAGATAGAGGACATCCCTTTCGGAGACCATGAGAAAGCCAGAAAGATTTAGTCATTTCTCCGTTCCAGATAATCTCAAACGACGAAGTGGTAAGGCAAGCCACCACAACTTCAATGAATTTATATGGGAGGTTGCCTGCTATGAGGGTACTGACCACAAAACTCCAGCTTAGGCGATCATAGGCCTTATCTAAGTCAATCTTGATCACCATCTAACCCTTCTTTCCCGTCTTCATCTGCATTGTATGGATCACCTCCTGCAGGATAATGATGTTGCTCTGGATGTGACGACCAGGGACGAAACTCGTCTAATTTGGTTGGATGAGGGAAGACATCAGCGGTTTCAAACGGTTTGACAAGAACTTTGTTAATGTTTTATAAGAAATATTACAGAGGCTTATTGGGCACAGGTCCACAACCATCTCTGTATTAGTCTTCTTTGGGATCAACACCACCAGCGTCTGATTACTTCCTCAACTAGGTTTGGGTTCCTGTGGCAATCAGCAACAAACTGTGAGAAGTACCTGCCCACCGTGCCCCAACAATGTTGAAAGAAGAGAGGTTGGTACCCATCCTTCCTTGGTGCTTTATAGGGCCCCCATAGATTTCACTACGACAAGGATTTCGTCATAGATGAACTCGAACTCGGGACCTTGTGCGAGCTCAATCCTAAGGAAGGCCGAAACAAGCAAGTCAACCATGGCAACATACTCCGTGTAGAGAACTTTGTAGAAGTCTCTAACCAACTCCTTCATTTCCGCAGCATCCTCAGTCCACGAACCATCATCTTTCTTGAGCTTACAGATTATGTTAGCACTTCGACGCTCGAGCGTGACAAGATGAAAGAAACGGAAATTACTGTCACTTTCCACAAACCAATGGGCTGTAGATTTCTGGTACCACAGAGCAGCTTCATGTCGCAAGGTATCCTGGAGTTGACTGCGAACTTCTTCCTCCTCGCGCAGGCTAGATGCTGATGGATGGGTACCGTTCCTTTTCTCCAGGCTGTTCAGTTGAGCTGATAGCCGACTCTTTCTAGCAAAAATATTCCCATAAACTTCCTTGTTCCATTTCCTGAGTTCCCACGTGAGCTGGGAAATGCACGAGAAATAGCCATCACCTTTTCGCCAACCCTCCTGCAGGATACGAGCAAAGTCATCATGTAATTTTTGTCATGTAATTGAAACCAAAACTCATTTGGTATAGTTGTTTACTTATCCTTTCTCACTTGTTTGGTTAAGTTCCTTTAGTATTTTTGTCATGTAATTTTGAGCTACATTTCCAACCAGCCTCAAGAACTAAACTCTCTCGCCCCTACCAATAAGATACCAATAATAATTTCTAATGGCTAAAAGGTAAAAACTAAAACAGTCAGCAACACATAAAGAGCTTTCCTGAAAATAGTTAACACTTGATTTTTTTAACAAAAGATAATCATATTGATTGATAGAAAGATCAACGATTACATCCTGGACATGATTTAGAAACAAAAATAAAAAATACGACACGAGGTCGGAGGCAAAGAAAGGACCTTCGAGCCACAATATAAACTACCCTATTGCTTATCCGACCTACAATTGAATATAAAAACCACTATTGAGGACCAGCATATGCAGAATTTTCTCAATAATAGCCCCAACACGACTAACCCGCGCATCCTTAACATTAAATGAGCACCTTAACATCGCATTCAAATCGATCCTGAGCAAGTTCAAGATCATGACATCACTGAATAGCTTCCCGAAGTACAATAGTCTCAAGCATAAGTGCGTCAACCATACTCTTAAAACACAACCCACCTTAAAGTGAAATAAAACAAAAAATTAAGTCATCATCACGCCACCTACTTCCCTCCTTGCAACAAAGGAAAAGTCCAATAATTCATATTTTGGAGGATCTGAAAATCAAGATGAAAGATGACAAATGGCGTCTTGCATGAAAGTAATTTTAACAAATAATAAAGAGATTGTTCTCTCTCTTTAATACGAGTGTGTGAGAGTCTGAGAGATGAGAAAAAGAGCGCAAAACATAATAATGAAATAGTAACTGCTAATGAACGTGCTTTTTACTGGTTCCCCTGGTTTTTACTACATGACACAACCAGCGGTTTTTCTATGTCAGAAACGAGAGAGCACCCTTACCTTATCTTTAAGAAAGTTAAATCCCCCTCTTCCTCCTCCTCTGTGACTGTGACTGCCGACATCATCACTTATATAGTTATATGTTCAGTTCAGGCTGAGCGATTGAACCTCTCTACCCAAACTCAACCGGCGAGAGAAATGGACTGCTTCGTGATGACAAGCTGCCTACTCTGCCTCCTCTTCACCTTCACCGCCCTCCGTTTCCTGGCAAGAAAAAACAACAAAACTCCGGCCAAACTCCTCCCGCCGGGCCCCGCCCGGCTTCCAATCATCGGCAACCTCCACAACATGGGCGACCAGCCCCACCGATCGCTGGCCGATCTAGCCAAGGTCCACGGCCCCTTGATGAGCCTCAAGCTCGGCCAGCTCACCACCATCGTCGCTTCCTCCCCTGCCATGGCCAAAGAAATCCTCCAAAAGCACGACCAAGTCCTCTCCAACCGCCACACCATCCTCGCCGCGCAGGTCCACGACCACCACATGTTCGGCTTCGTGTGGCTCCCCGTGCAGTCGAAAGAGTGGAGGAACTTCAGGAGAGTCTGCAATTCGTACATCTTCGCCACCCAGAAGCTGGATTCGAACCAGGAGCTGCGGAGGGAGAAAATTGAAGAGCTCCTGCAAAGTGTTCGACGAAATGCGTGTGAGGGGAAAAAAGCGGTGGATGTTGGGAGAGAGGCGTTCAAGGTTAGCTTGAATGCTCTGTCGAGGACGATTCTCTCTTTGGATTTGGCCGACGTCGAGGGATTGGAGACGGCCAGGGAGTTCAATGAGGTTACGAGGGGGGTTATGGACGTGGGAGGGAAGCCCAATTTGGGGGATTTTTACCCTGTTGTGGCGAAGCTGGATTTGCAGGGGATACAGAGCATAGTAAAGGAAACCGTGCCGTACCGGCCGGTTGGACCGGTAAAACCGGAAACCGGAGCCTGGCCGGAACGGTACAGATACAACTCCTTAAATTTCGTACCGAACGGTTTTTGCGGTTGAACCATCAAACCGTCAAATACCGGCCGGTTATGGTCGAACCGTTCACCTATAATTAAATCACTCCATCGCGTTGATATCTGGTCCTTGAGAAGAGAAGTAGACCTGAGATCAAGACAGGGTTGATCTACGCAGCAGAGATCTGTAAATTAGAGAGAATCAACTGCTCCGATCTGGTTCCATAGGCGATCTGGTGAGAGGGGGAGAAGAAGAAGTTGGTGTCGGGGAGGTTCGTTAGATCCAACGAAGGCGGCGTTGTGGAGGGGATTGGAAGAACGAGGTTTAAGGAGATTTGGAGCAGGAGCTCGACGATGGAGTTTGTTTTGTTAGTCTAGGAGATTTCTTTTTCTTTCATTCAATGATTTGTTTTTTGGGAGGAGAATGGTAGAAAGAGATGACATGGGGATGAGGAGAGGATTGAGAAAAGTGACGGCTGCTAGGGTTAGGAGTTAGGACCTTAATAGTGGGTTTAATGTCATTTTCTGAAATCACTCTTTTGGCCTCGTCCCCTTCAAAAAATAATTGCTCGTGCCACCTTCCTTTCTCCCCTACAAAACCAAACTAAAATTATTTCCTTTGGAATTGAACCATTGAGCTCCTAAGCGTTATAAATTGTAATTCGCGCTAACCAATTTAGTTGTTCAACCGCTACTTTTAATTTTCTAGGTTTATTACATATTTTATCTATCACTATTTGATATTTTACAATTTGATATCCGGCATATTCCGGTATTTTCCCGGTATATTCCGGAACGTACTATATTTTTTACGGTCCGGTATTTTGATAAAAAAATAATTTTTTATTTATAAAACGGTATTTTATCGGTATGAAACGGTTGAATCACGGTCGTACCATTAAATACCTTACTATGGACATATCCGGTATGACTTCCGGTACGGTTTCCTTTACCATGATACAGAGGCGCTCGAGGGATCACTTCGGCAAGGTCTTGGATCTGTTTGGTTCGGTGATTGATGAACGGTTAAGGAAGCTGAAGTCGGGGAGCTATGTCTCCGGTAACGACGTGCTCGACTCACTGCTGGCTATTGGGGATGAGAATCCTGAGGCTTCCATGGATCCGCTTCGCATCAAACATTTGTTTTCGGTGAGCTACGTTTTTTTACACAGAATTAATTTATTTCATTAGCCACCGTACGTATGTGTTAGAACCGGTAGCCAGAAAACCTTCTACCGGGACATGAATCGATAAGCGGGTTTAGTGGTAGATAGGAAATGGTTGATGTTATAAACGCGCTGCTACGGATCGGGAAATTGCCGGAATCGATAAAGCAAGAATACGAGAGCGAGAATCGAAAAAACACAGACACACGATATACGTGGTTCACTAACACGATGTGTGTTAGCTAGTCCACGGGCGAGAGAGAGCCAGTTTCACTATATCGAGGAGATTACAGATTACAAAGGAGTATGAGAAGTATTTATAGTACTTCTCCATGTGGGTCTAAACCTAATCCAATCTAGCAAAGGAAACGGTTACAGACCAGGCCCAGAACCCGAACCCAAATAACATTGAGCCCCGGTTACCAGTCGTAGCGGCTGATAGTCCGATTCAAGTCATATCAACAAATCTCCACCTTGACTTGAATCCTCTTCCTCTGAAATCTCTGATGTACTCTGCTCCTTCTCTCTCTCCCGCCATCAATGCCCCGCAGGGCGGAGTCACCCACTCAAGACATTCAGCAAGTCCAAGTAGTGTTGGAACTTGCCATGTGGAACCGGCTTCGTGAACATATCAACAGGATTATCTGCGGTGCCAACCTTCTTCACCTTAATCCTCTTCTCTGTCCTCAAGAAATGATACCTCACGTCGATGTGCTTAGTCCTCTCATGGTGGACTTGATCCTTGGCCAAGCATATTGCACTCAAACTGTCGCAATACACCACTGCCTGATCATGATGTAGACCCAGATCACCAACCAGTCCCTTCAACCATATTCCCTCCTTAGCAGCTTCTGTCAACGCCATAATACTCTGCCTCAGTAGTAGACAATGTCACCGCCGACTGCAAAGTTGCCTTCCAGCTCACTACAGAACTCCCAAGAGTGAATACATAACCAGTCATCGATCTCCTCGTGTCAACATCTCCAGCATAGTCCGAGTCAGAATACCCAGACACCAAGCACTCTGTATCACTTCCGAAGCTAATCCCCACATCAGGTGTACCCTTAAGGTACCGGAAGATCCTCTTCACAGCCTGCCAATGCTCCTTCCCAGGTTGTATCATAAACCTGCTGACAACACTAACAGCATGTGCAAGATCAGGTCTAGTGCATACCATAGCGTACATCAAGCTACCTACTGCACTAGCATATGGGACTCTCGACATGTACTCCTTCTCAGCCTCTGACTGCGGTGCATAGGCTGAGGATAGATGAACATTTGAAGCACTAGGAGTATTTAAGGGCTTTGTTGAAGACATGCCAAACCTCGACAGTATCTTCTGGATGTAGCTCTTCTGTGACAAGAAAAGCTTCTTCTTCGACCTGTCCCTGTAAATCTCCATACCCAAAATCTTCTAAGCAGCTCCCAAATCCTTCATCTCAAACTCAGCACTGAGAAGCCCCTTTAACTTCTGGACATCAGACTTTGACCTCGTAGCTATGAGCATATCATCCACATACAGAACTAGATATATCATCGAACCATCCTCTGCCTTGCTGTGATATACACAACAATCATATGGACTTCTGTTGTAGCCCAGCTCAAGCATGTAACTGTCAAATCTCTTGTACCACTGCCTCGGAGATTGCTTAAGTCCATACAATGACTTCTTCAGCTTACAAACATAGTCTTCTTTTCCAGGAACCTCGAATCCTTCTGGCTGAGTCATGTAAATTTCTTCCTCCAACTCTCCATGTAGGAAAGCTGTCTTCACGTCTAGCTGCTCGAGCTCCAAGTCATAATGTGCCACTATTGCTAGTAGCACTCTGATCGAAGTATGTCTGACCACTGGTGAGAAAATCTCATTGTAATCAACTCCTTCCCTTTGCGAGAAGCCTCGTGCAACCACCCGAGCTTTAAATTTCATGCCCTCTTTGGAAGTGAATACGCCACCATGTCCTCGAAGCCATACCTCTGTGGAGGTACTCCTGCAGTCGCTCTCTTCGGTCTACCGGAAGCAATAGACTGTTGAGCTCGTGCTCTGGACTCTGAAATTTCTGGCTCTGCAGAGACATCCTCATCATGTTGATCTTCTCCACCTTGGTGCTCAAACTCACTCTCATTGAGAGTTTGCAGCTCCACCTGTTTATCAACATTCCTGCTACCTTCAACAACAGTAACCTTCAACATGGGGTTAAACATAGACTTCTCATCAAATATCACATTTCTACTAAGTATAACTCGATGCTCAGAAGGTGACCAGACTCGAAATCCCTTAACTCCATCTCCGTAACCCACAAATACACCCTTCTTTGCCCTTGGGTTCAGTTTACCCTCATCCACATGATAATAAACAGGACACCCAAACACTTTCAGTGAAGAGTAATCAGCAGGCTTACCATACCACACTTCATAAGGAGTCTTACCCTCGATACCTGTGTGAGGTCCACGGTTGATCAGGAAGCACGCCATGTTTACTGCTTCTGCCCAGAATCTTCTCTCTAGTCCAGCATTAGAGAGCATGCACCGTGCTCTCTCCAACAATGTCTGGTTCATCCTTTCTGCAACGCCATTCTGCTGGGGTGTATCTCTAACAGTCCGATGACGGGCAATCCCTTCATCCTTGCAGAATTCGTTGAACTCAGAACTGCAGAACTCCAGACCATTGTCCGTTCGCAGCTTCTTGATCTTCTTCCCGGTCTGATTCTCCACCAATGTCTTCCACTGCTTGAACTTCGTGAAAGCCTCACTTTTCTGCTTCATCATGAAAATCCAAGTAAATCTCGAATAATCATCAATAATAGACAGAAAATACCTGCTGCCTCCAATGGATTCAACTCGTGAAGGACCCCAACAGTCGGAGTGGAGGTAATCCAGTATCCCCTTCGTCCGGTGGATACCCTTCTTGGGAAACTTGCTGCGATGTAGCTTCCCAAACACACAATGCTCACAGAATTCCAAATTCTGCACCTTGTGCCCGCAAAGAAGATCCCTCTTCGATAGAACTTGCATCCCCCGTTCACTCATATGCCCCAGTCTCATGTGCCAGAGAGTGGTCATATCTTCCTGTTGAACCTGAGACGATGCAACTGCAGCAGAACCAGACAACACAGACCCTTGTAATGCATACAAGGTCCCACGCTTCACGGCATTCAGCACCTTCCTTGAACCTTTGCAGACATACACAACTCCACCTTTTCCTTTGAAGCTGAAACCCTTGCTGTCGAGTAGACTCAAGGAGATCAGGTTCTTTGTCATTCGTGGAACATGTCTGACATCATTCACGGTACAGAACGAACCATCATGTGTCCGAACCTTTATGGACCCGATTCCAACAACCTTGCAGACAGCTCCATTAGCCATGACCACGTTACCACCATCTATCTGCTCGTAGGTTGTGAAACAATATCTGTTAGGAGACATATGGTATGAGGCTGCAGTATCCAGAAACCATACATCACCACGATGTGCCTTCTCATCTACAGCCAAGGCGAGATCGTCTTCAGAACTGTTGTCCACTTCTGCCACGGCAACTAAACCTTGTTTCTTCTGTTGCCCTCTTCTCTTGGGACAGTTGTACTTCCAATGCCCCACTTCCTTACAGTTGTGACAAGCATCACCTGGCTGTGGACCGGGACCCTTGGAATTCTTGTTCGAATTCCCTTTTCCAGATTTCTTCTTTCCCTTTCCACCTGTAACAGCCAAACCCGATGCCTCACCACCTGTACCAGATCCGGACGCCTTATGTCTGATCTCTCTCGTATGAAGAGCAGACCTGACATCCTCCAACGACACGCTTTCTTTACCAGCAATAAAAGAATCAACGAAATTCTCATATGAACTCGGCAAAGAAACCAGCAGGATTAGGGCAGCATCCTCGTCATCAACTTGAACATCTATATTACGCAGATCCAGCAAAATAGAGTTAAGCTGTTCGAGATGTTCCCTCAAAGGCGTACCTTCTTGCATCCTCAAGCTGAACAACCGTTGCTTGAGATGCAGCTTGTTGGTTAGATACTTAGTCATGTACAGACTCTCTAGTTTCAACCACAAGCCCGCGGCAGTCTTCTCAGCAGCGACTTCAATGATGACGTCATCAGACAACGATAGCATGATGGTCGAGTGGGCCTTCTCCTCCAGGGTATTCCACTCATCGTCATCGACCGCTGCCTTCTTCTGTTTCGCAGACAGCGCCCCCCACAGCCCTTGCTGTTTCAATAAAGCCTGCATCTTGATCTGCCATATAGCGAAGCTGTTCTTCCCCGTGAACTTTTCGATCTTCATGTTCACCGACGTCATTCTTCTGAATCGAAAAAACCCTAGCCTGATTTCCAGCCGCGGCTCTGATACCACTTGTTATAAACGCGCTGCTACGGATCAGGAAATTGCCGGAATCGATAAAGCAAGAATACGAGAGCGAGAATCGAAAAAACACAGACACACGATATACGTGGTTCACTAACACGATGTGTGTTAGCTAGTCCACGGGCGAGAGAGAGCCAGTTTCACTATATCGAGGAGATTACAGATTACAGAGGAGTATGAGAAGTATTTATAGTACTTCTCCATGTGGGTCTAAACCTAATCCAATCTAGCAAAGGAAACGGTTACAGACCAGGCCCAGAACCCGAACCCAAATAACATTGAGCCCCGGTTACCAGTCGTAGCGGCTGATAGTCCGATTCAAGTCATATCAACAGTTGAATCATGATTTCACTTCGTTTTCAGTACGAAATAAGTTGTTGTTGACTTTTTAGTACAACCTCTGGTATGATTTCACTCGTTAGATTACAAGTGTGATTAACATTATTAAGATGTGGTTGAGATTACGACTGTGATTAATGTTATTAAAGATGAATTAAAAAGTAATTATTAACACGTAGATTAAAAAGGATTAAAGACAGTAAAAATATTTTCTTTATCGTAAAGCATAGTACATGGATAATATTGTATGATTGATACTAATGGAGTACAGGTCCATCATCAATTTTTTTCCTCATATCTTGGTTTGACCACTAGGATCTCTTCATGGCTGGGACCGATACAACTTCAACCACACTAGAATGGGCAATGGCAGAGCTTCTCCGCAATCCTACCACACTCGCTAAAGCCAGGGAAGAGCTGGACTGTACGATTGAAAAAGGCAATCATCTTCAAGAATCAGACATCCATCGATTGCCTTATCTACAATCAATAATCAAAGAGACCCTTAGGTTACACCCATCAGCTCCCTTTCTGCTTCCCCACAAAGCGGGAGCCGATGTGGAAATCAATGGCTTCACGATACCCAAAGGTGCACAAATTCTAGTCAATGCATGGGCTATAGGTCGGGATTCGGCAACATGGGACGATCCAAAATCCTTTATCCCTGAAAGATTTATGGGTTCAGAGGTTGACGTAAGGTGAAATTTGGGATCACTTTACATAAGGCCAAACCGTTACTAGCTGTTCCTACTCCAAGATCATGAGAGAGATGATTGTGTGATTGGACATTTCGAGAGCTCTTCCATCAATATATAAAAGCGATTTGGTTTGCTTCTCAAAAACTTATTTATTCATACCGCGCGCTTTCAACTACCGACTCTACCTCTGAAAGCACTCTCCCACTCAAAGTTTTGGTGTTGGGCCTTATCCAAAGTTCTCAACGGGACGACCACCAGATCCAAATCTCTCAGAAGCAAACCTCTTGAAAACCTCCATCCTGACCTCCAATGAATTTCAAGTTCGCCCGATCTCTAGTAAAACTCTTTGACTCGACTCCTCCAATGAATTTCAAGCTCACCTTGTCTAGTAAAACTCTTTGATAGTATTTCAAAATCCAGCCAATGGACGATCTGATGGTCGGGACCAACAATGGAGAGCCAGGAATGAAAATCTCATATTCTCTTAGAAAATGTGTGTATGATATCGGTTCAAACCGTTAACAGCAGCGGGAACATAATAATCAATTATCAACTTATATAAAAAAAAAAAAAAAAGGATTTTGCAGAAATGGATGGTGACGAGATTTGAACAAATACCTCATACTCAATAAAGTAGCACCTCTCCAACTATATATAAGTATACATGGTAGATGTGGGTATACAACGTAAAAGTCCCCGAATTTTGATTTTTTCTATTTATGAAAATCACTTATATTAACATTGGATTGGATGACTTTAATTTTCATAAAATAGTTGATTTCTACTTGTCGGACATAGTTACATTATCACATAATCATTTGGTAGGAACATATTAGAATAAATGTGTAGACTTTCAAAATTAATAACTTAATTACTCATACTTGTTAATAGTAATATATAAGGTTAATACATTATTTTGGCCAGAAGTATTACCATATAATCAATTTTGATATGTGGTTTTAAAAATTAACATCCTAATCTTAACTATGCAGCATATAAATCAATTGATCGGACGCGAGGTTTGAATGTCAATTTGGATGGTCAACATCGTTGACTAACGATCAACGGTCTAACTCACTGCCACATCAGCGCCGAATAAATAAAAAATTTGAATTTAGATTTATTTTAATATATCATTTTTATAATAATAAATTAACAACCATAAAAATTAAACAAAAAAAATAGAGCCTTTGGATGAGATTTTGATAGGATTTCTGGTTACTCAAACGTACGTTTTTTTTAATCTCTCTCGATTCAATTCCAAATTTCAGCTTCTTCTCTGTCTTTGAATTACTTTTCCTCTCTCAATCCCTCAAGAGCAAGCTCCTCAACCTCAAGAATAAGAACAGAAAACAACTCTGCAACTCTCTCTCCCTCTTGTTGATCTCGGAATTTCAAAATTAAGCAAGTGTGGTCAAAACCTCACCAATTGGATTCGAAGGATTCGACAAGGGTCTCGAGATCTCCTTCTCGGAGGCGCCGATTTACAAGGACCCCAACGGACTTGGCCTCCGCGCCCTGACTCTCCCCCAGATCCACTTGTTCCTTGACGCGGCCAAGTGCTCCATCGTCTCGAGTCTCTCAAACGACAAGCTCGACTCGTAAGTCCTCTTCAAGTTGACCGGCAGAGTGGGAAGCTCGGACTAGAACCCGGTGGCGGGTTTGAAGATGGTGAGCCAGAAGTTGGGCCTTATCGGTACTTGGCAAAGCTGGAGGTTTGGTGGTGCTGGGTCGGGTCGACCCGAGCCTGGATGAAGACGAAGAGGTTCTGGACGGTGGAGGAGAGCTTTTGGAGGCGGGGAAGTCCGGGAGATGGAATTCGAAGTTCCAGGACTTGCAGACGACTGCGACAGAGCGCAATTGGGGGAATTTGAGGAGGAGGAGGCATGTGTTTTGATTTGTTAATTAGGGGGAGAGGCATGTGTTTCCGATCCAAATACCATCCAAATTCCAAAGGCTTTTTTGTATAATTTTAATTTTTATTCTAGTTATTTATTATTATAAAAATGAGATATGAAAAATAATTTTAAATTATAACTTTTTATTTATTTAGCGTGACGTGGCAGTGAGCTGGATCGTTGACCGTTCAAATTGATGGTCAAACCACACCTCCGACCAATTGAGTATATTTGCTACATAGTTGAGGCCATGATGTTAATTTCTAAAACCACGGGCCAAAGTTTGATTATGAGCAATGTCTATTTTTTATCCAAACCTTGTTCAAATTTTTTTGTATTGTCCAAACCTATAAAAATTCTATTAATTAACCAAATGTTAACTTGCACTTAGGAATTTTGTTAGTATTATTGACTTGGCAACATGATACTAACTTGTAAGAGACACATGAAGGTCAACATTACAAAATTTTAGTATTTTAACTAAGAAAATAGTTACAAAATTATTACCAATAATGTAAAAATGACTAATATTTTGATGCATTTCGAAAGATTTGGCTAATTAATAGCATTTTAATAACTTTGGATAATATAAAAGATCTGAAAAAAGTTTGGATAAAAATAGACATTATCCTTGATTATATAGTCATAATTCGGGCTAAAATAAGGTATTAACCCTAATATATATTCAATTTTTGAATTTTTGTTTCAATGTGTATTCTACAATAATATTCTTGTCTATAAAACACTAATTTGTTAACAACTTTAACGATTTAATATTGATTAAACCAATAAAGTATGAACTCTATGATGCATCATTCATACTCGAGTTCGATTCTAACGGTACACGAATAAATTGTGTTAGTCAAAGAGGCTAAAACCCGAAAAAGGTTGTCAACCAGCGGGTCAACCCGTCATTTGGTCCGCTTTGACCCTGACCCAGTGAAAAAAACGGGTCGTACACACCCACCGAGTCGACCTGCTGCAAGGTATCGGATTGGAAGTCAAACGACGTTGCTTTTCCTTTATTTTGTGAAATGCGCTTATTTTCCGATATTTCTTTTTGTTTAATCCAATCTCTTGGAATTTTAAGTTAAACATATGAACATTAATGTTATATAAGTATGTGTGAATTTTCACTATATGTTGGATCTAAGTACGACATGTTATTTTGGTGTAATATTACATGTTATTACTCATATGTTGGATGAGTTTTCATATAATTTATACATGTATGAACAATATAATGAGTTTTACTATATCTCCGGATTAAGCCAGACTAAAGTTGTTGACCCATTAACCCTCAATTTACTTGTTTGACCGAATTAACCGGCTAATCCGGGTTGACAACCCGCAGAAGTTATTCTGCTAACTGCTCAAAGTGTTAGCATATACTAACACGGCAGGATGAAGGGCCACGTCGGCCCATGTTTGATCCAACGGAGGAGCTTCTCGGCGTGGTGGTGGCTCACTTAAGTGAGCTAAAGGTGGGCCAACAAGCAAAATCCGGCCCAGCGTGCGGCGGCAGCAGAGCTGAGCAAGTGGCGTGGTGGGCCCGGCTTGATTTTGGGCGGAAGAATGGAGAGGAGTGGAAAAAGAACCAAATTTTATGGGCCCATGTTAGTATTATGTATGTGTTGTTTGTGTGGATATTTATTTGTTCTCAGTCGATATTAATTTATGTTATGTTGATATTGCTTTGTATCATTGTTGAAATTTTGAGCTGTATTATTCCTTTGCAAAACAATATCCTACACACTATCAAGTCCTAACACGTAATGCTTGCAACCTTAGTTAGGGCCATTAAATAATATTAGTTTTTATTGTTTATAGTTTATTTTTTAGGGCTGATTGTTTAGGTTTGGTTTATGGTTTACGGTTTACAGTATAGAGGTTAGGGTTAATGTTTCAACATAAGGGTTTGGGTTCTCTTTAGGGTTTAAGATTTAGTCTGGTCAGTATTAATATCTATTCTTTCCTAATTATATTGTTTTTAGAGTTTATTTAGTAGTGTTCATTGTTTAGGGTTTAGGGTTTAGGGTTTAGAGTTTAGGGTGATAGAGTTTATTTGAACCTGCGGATATTTAGCCGGGTTGTGCGGATATTTATTTGAACCCGAGGAAACATTCCCTTAGTTCATGTGTTTTATTTTTTTAGTGTTTAGTGATTAGGGTGATAGAGTTTAAAGTTTAGGGTTTAGGGTTTAGGGTTAGTGTACAAATATTAGATATTAGTTTGTGTGTTGTGGATATTTGTTTTGGCTAGATGTAATACTTGTTCTGATATACATATATTTTTTCAAAATATTATGATTTTTTTCCGGGTTGTGTGGATATTTATTTGAACCTGATGAAATATTCCCTTAGTTCATGTGTTTGGATATTTGTGTGAAACCTTTGAATATTCTCAGCTTGGGAAAACAATAATAGTTTTATTTTTTTAGTGTTTAGTGATTAGGGTGATAGAGTTTAAAGTTTAGGGTTTAGGGTTTAGGGTACAAATAACAAATATTAGTTTGTGTGTTGTGGATACTTGTTTTGGCTAGTTGTAATACTTGTTTCTGATATACAGATAGTAGATATTAGTTTGTGTGTTGTGGATACTTGTCTTTCCTAGTGGTAATAATTGTTTCTGACATACTGATATATATTCAAAATATTGTGATTTTTTTCCGGGTTCTGATTACACCAATTTAGAGAATTAGTTTTAGGGTTTAGAGTTCTGGTTTTCAATTTGTGAAAGATTGGAATATTGTGTCTTACATCAAATTAAACACACTAGCAAGTCCTACACACTATCAAGTCCTAACACGTAAGGCTTGCAACCTTAGTTAGGGCTGCCCGCCGAAGGCCCATTAAATAATATTAGTTTTTATTGTTTATAGTTTATTTTTTAGGGTTGATTGTTTAGGTTTGGTTTATGGTTTACGGTTTACGGTATAGAGGTTAGGGTTAATGTTTCAACATAAGGGTTTGGGTTCTCTTTATGGTTTAAGATTTAGTCTGGTCAATATGAATATCTATTCTTTTCTAATTATATTGTTTTTACAGTTTATTTAGTAGTGTTCATTGTTTAGGGTTTAGGGTTTAGGGTTCAGGGTTTAGGGTTTAGAGTTTAGGGTGATAGAGTTTATTTGAACCTGCGGATATTTAGCCGGGTTGTGCGGATATTTATTTGAACCTGAGGAAACATTCCCTTAGTTCATGTGTTTTATTTTTTTAGTGTTTAGTGATTAGGGTGATAGAGTTTAAAGTTTAGGGTTTAGGGTTAGGGTACAAATAATAGATATTAGTTTGTGTGTTGTGGATACTTGTTTTGGCTAGTTGTAATACTTGTTTATGATATACAGATAGTTTGTTCAAAATATTGTGATTTTTTTCCGGGTTGTGTGGATATTTATTTGAAACTGATGAAATATTCCCTTAGTTCATGTGTTTGGATATTTGTGTGGAACCTTTGAATATTCTCAGTTTGGGAAAACAATAATACTTTTATTTTTTTAGTGTTCTATTGATTAGGGTGATAGAGTTTAAAGTTTAGGGTTTAGGGTTAGGGTACAAATATTAGATATTAGTTTGTGTGTTGTGGATACTTGTGTTTCCTAGTTGTAATACTTGTTTCTGACATACTAATATTTATTCAAAATATTTTGATTTGTTTTTGGGTTGTGTGGATATTTATTTTAACCCGGTGAAATATTCCCTTAGTTCATGTGTTTGGATATTTTTCTGGAACCTTTGAATATTATCAGCTTGGGAAACAATAATAGTTTTATTTTTTTTATTGTTTAGTGATTAGGGTGATAGTGTTTAAAGTTTAGGGTTTAGGGTTAGGGTACAAATAGTGGATATTTGTTTGTGTGTTGTGGATATTTTTTGAAAAGATTTTAATACTTTTTACTAAGGAACTGATAGTTATTTTAAATAATTTGTCTGGGTTGTCTGGATATTTGTCTGGGTTGTCTGGGTATTTAATTGAATCTGAGCAGCATGGTTTCAGATTGTTTTCCCTGTAGTGAAACAACTGAAATGACAGGTACACCACGGATTCAACACAAAATACTCTACCACTAACTTTTTGGTACTGTTTTATCGTTCTTGGTCATACATACAAATCCAAGTTCCCCGTGAAAGTTGAAACCATTGCTTAATTACTAATTACTAGGATGAGTTCGTACTACATCACACATGCAAATCCAAATGAAATTCACAACTTCTGGAATAGCATGCTGCCTTGTTTTTTCTCCTTGACGAGATCTCGATGCAACCATTTTCGTTCTCTTCATCCCGGGTTGTTCCTGAAACACAGTTATATATTAAGCAAAATATCCATAATCCTTGGACAAATAACTAAAACGCACACTTATATACAATACAATTATCGTAGTAAAGCAAAAGTGTATCCAAACGGAGATAACTGATATCCATGAAAAAAATATCCATAATACCCAGAAAAATAACTAAAACGAACATTTAAGTATCCACATTAACCGAACTGATATCCACACATCAGACACATCAGTTTATTTTTTTTTTGCAAATACATACAATTATTATCGTAGTAAAGCAAAAGTGTATCCAAACGGAGATAACTGATATCCATGAAAAAATATCCATAATACCCAGAAAAATAACTAAAACGAAAATTTAAGTATCCACATTAACCGAACTGATATCCACACATCAGACACATCAGTTTATTTTTTTTGCAAATACATACAATTATTATCGTAGTAAAGCAAAAGTGTATCCAAACGGAGATAACTGATATCCATGAAAAAATATCCATAATACCCAGAAAAATAACTAAAACGAAAATTTTAGTATCCGCATTAACCGAACTGATATCCACACATCAGACACATCAGTTTATTTTTTTACAAATACATACAATTATTATCGTAGTAAAGCAAAAGTGTATCCAAACGGAGATAACTGATATCCATGAAAAAATATCCATAATACCCAGAAAAATAACTAAAACTAACATTTAAGTATCCACATTAACCGAACTGATATCCACACATCAGACACATCAGTTTATTTTTTTTGAAAATACATTCAATTATTATCGTAGTAAAGCAAAAGTGTATCCAAACGGAGATAACTGATATCCATGAAAAAATATCCATAATACCCAGAAAATAACTAAAACGAACATTTAAGTATCCATATTAACCGAACTGATATCCACACATTAGACACATCAGTTTATTTTTTATGCAAATACATACAATTATTATCGTAGTAAAGCAAAAGTGTATCCAAACGGAGATAACTGATATCCATGAAAAAAATATCCATAATACCCAGAAAAATAACTAAAACGAACATTTAAATATCCATATTAACCGAACTGATATCCACACATTAGACACATCAGTTTATTTTTTTTTGCAAATACATACAATTATTATCGTAGTAAAGGAAAAGTGTATCCAAACGGAGATAACTGATATCCAGGAAAAAATATCCATAATACCCAGAAAAAAAACTAAAACGAACAGATAGGTATCCACATTAACAGAAGTGATATCCACACATCAAACACATCAGTTTATTTTTTTTAGCCAATATAACTAATCGAGAAACGAAGTGAGAAAATAGCTAATATCATTGAACTAATATCCATCATGGCATAAAAATATCCAGACCTAGCATACAAATATATATACATCACATAACCAATATCCTAACAATCAACCACCGTACAATATCCACATTAAACTAAATGGTACCAATATCCTAACAACCAACCACCATACAATATCCACATTAAACTAAATGGTATCCCATGCCAGCTAAACAATTTTTCAGGTAAAAAAATATCAAATTAACGAGCAAAATCCAGAAACAATTCCTTAAAAGAACTAATATCATTGAACTAATATCCATAGAGGGCATAAATATATCCAGACCTAGCATACAAATATCTATGCATCACATAACCAATATCCGAACAATCAACCACCAAACAATATCCACATTAAACTAAAAGAATCCCAGATCCCCCAAATCAAAAGAATCCCAGATCCCCCAAATCGAATCTCAAATCCCCCAACAAGAATCCCAGATCCCTAACAATGAATCTCAGATCCAAAAAACGAAGCAAAAAAAAAAAACTCAGATCCAGTCGAATCTATGAAACCCTAAATCAAATATATGTAATCCAGCCACAGAAAATCCCAGATCCCCCAAATCGAAAGAAATCCAAATCCCCCAAATCAAAAGAATCCCAGATCCCCCAAATCGAATCTCAAATCCCCCTACAAGAATCCCAGATCCCTAACAATGAATCTCAGATCCAAAAAACGAAGCAAAAAAAAAAAAAACTCAGATCCAGTGGAATCTATGAAACCCTAAATCAAATATATGTAATCCAGCCTCAAAACCCTAAACACCCTAAATCGAATTGCATGAACCATAAATTTTCAAATCCATAAACAAAACCCAGATTTCCACAAAAAAAATCCATGAACCGAAACCCTGACATAAATTTTCAAATCCACAAACAAAATGAACAATAAAGAGAGAAGTAGAACTACCTCAGCGTCTTCTTCTACCTCCAACTATCGGCGGCGACGGCGGCGGAGTTCTTCGTCGGCGAAGTCGGCGGCGTCTTCTTCTTTCTTCTCCGTCGGCGGCGTCTTCTTCCTCGTCGGTCGGGATAGCTTCAAGGGCCACGTCGGCGGTACATCCAGCAACAAGTCGCCGACCTCGCAGCCGTCGTCGCCGTCGAAGATCGTCGCTGTTGGTGGTGGTTTTCGGGAGAAAAGAAGAAGAGAGGGAGAGGGTTCGAAAGTTGGAGAGAGAGGGGAGAATGGCTGACCGCGGGTTGAGGTTGGGTTTTGGGCGGGTTTGAAATTTTGGGTTTTGCTTTTTTTTTTTTATTTCTGTCCCAAATGTGGCTCGGCTTGGCCCAAAAATCCCTCCCCCCTCACAGAACAGCGCCGGCGATCCTCACCCCTCCGATGGTGGCTCGCCTACATGGCCCCCTCATCTCACCGTGTTAGTATATGCTAACCACTAACACAGTTAGCAGAATAACACTATTGTTGACAACCTTGCCCGAAAGAGAGAATCTTGAATATGAGAAATGACTCGAATGAGAATTAGTGCATCTGAGAGAGAATTCGCATCAGCTGGTACTTGATCGAGACGACAGCTGCCTGCCTGTCTGTGCGACTGTGCCTGAACTCTATTCCGCTCAATCTTTCTTTCTTAAATTGATTTCTTTTTATGTCGCTGTTCACTCTTCCGAAGCGGTTCTTTCCAGCGACGGCGCCGATTTCTCTTCTACACCAGCAGCACCATCTAATCTCCGGCCCCAGGAAGACGACGGAGCGAAGAAGGTCGTCCGCCATCAAAATGTCGGCCGGGACATCATCGCCGTCCCAATCGCTGTCCCACTCCATCACCCTGCCTTCCCAGCCCGCCCATCCTGTCCCTGTTGTTGCTGCCCCCGGCGTCTCCGAGTCCGCCTTCCGGTGCGAGATTATTAATTTCTTTTGCTTCTTTCCATCGCAGCATTTCTTTGTTTCTCTGGAGGAGGTCTGAAGCATGTCCATTTTTTTCTTCTTCGTAGGAGTGCTATTGATTCTTCGCTCTTCAAGCAGTGGCTGCAGAACTTGCAATCCGAGACAGGGATTTTGTCGAATGGAGATTTGATGCTGAAGCAAGTCCTTGTTCAGGTCTGCCAATTCTGGGTTTTGGCCCATTTTGATGTCCATAGCATCGTCTTTCTTGGTTTTTGTTGCTGTAAGTTTAGAGCTTTACTTGAAGCAGTTTTGGAATTGATCATTGTTTGAAATGAGTTCAGCTGAGAAGAAATGGGAGAAAGACTTTCGAGGATAAAATTTAGATTCTTTCTGGGACACTTCAATCCTAGGGTCTGGGTTGACTGGTTTCACAAGACCTATAGATGGGTATTTTGGAATTTGACTCGAATTGCCTAATATCTGGACACCTGATTGAGATTACCCTTTAAAGTAACCTGCCACGTTAGAAGGCGATGTCATTCGTTTGAAATTTGAATTGTTGGACGGAGCTGGAGGCATGGCCTCTGGAACTGCAAACAGAAATGGCTGGTGCGTAGCTGAATGACAATTTAGGTTGTGTTTATCTGCTGCAATAAAAATAGCAGGTATTTCTGATGAGTGCTTCTTGAGGATTTAATGATTTATCTGTAATTTGAGAGAATCAGTGTGCTATAGTTACTTCCCGCTGGAATCTAAGATACATGCATGGCCTTTAAGCTGTATGAATTAAGATGGAACAACTGGGTCATGTTAGTTGTTACTACACTGATGTGAAGGATTTTTTACGCATCTTTATCATGGTTTACTATTTCTTTTTCACATTATGAGCTCATGTCCGTTGGAAGACCCAGTTTTACTTTGAGGCTCTAGCGATTTAACATATTAGATTAGTTTACAGGGAGTTGATATGTTCGGACCGCGTGTTGGGTTCCTAAAGTTCAAGGCAGATATTCTTGATAAGGAAACAGGAGCAATGGTATGTACTTTTCTCTCTAAATAGAGCCTCATCCTTGCTTGATCAATCCATCCAACTTCCTTGCCGATTTGGTATTTAGCTGTGATAAGCAACCACTCACTTTGACAGTTTCCATAGAAGGTCATTTTTAGGAGTTAATTTGACTGTAAGTTGGGGATTGGAAGGAAGGGGTATGAGAGGAGGTGTTTGAGATAGTGGATATGATGAAGTGAAGAAGAAGAAGATTTAGGGAGCAGAAGTACACGTTTGAGATTACTAAGCTCTGATACCATAATAAGACCGCGAAACTGACTGTTGTATTATTGATTTACAATATTCAAACTACAAGAGCTGCAGCTGAATGATAAACAGAAAAGGCTAAAATACAGCAAGAGGTGGAACAGAAATATATAAATAGAATGGAGAAAGAATCGAGGCATGAGTAATAGAGTGGAAACAGAGTGGTAAGTATCAAAGGGAGTGGTCGCTTATCAAGATGAATGTCTGCACTCTACTATTTTTCCATCTAATGACCTTGAATCATCTCTATGATGCTTTCGCAATGCTATTCCAACCCTAATGATACAAAAATGCTTATAGCTCTATTGTGCTACTAGATGAACTGTGTTATCTTCATGTATGGACTGAAAATCGCATAGGTTCCAGGTATAGTGTTTGCTAGAGGGCCGGCGGTGGCAGTGCTGATCCTTTTGGACTCGGAAGGCAAAACATATGCTGTTCTCACTGAACAGGTGCTTTTCCCCCATCTAATCTTCCCAATAACAAGTCCTTCAAGTTGAAATGTTGCTTCTAACCCTTTTAATCGTTGTCACTAATTCAAAGGTTAGGGTACCCACTGGGAAGGTTGTTTTGGAATTACCAGCTGGGATGTTGGATGACGACAAAGGTGACTTTGTTGGCACAGCGGTTCGTGAGGTATATCTCTTCCACCCTGTGTAAGTTGCTTCACTAGTTTTCAGCATTTTCTAATCTGACGGCTTTAACACAGGTTGAAGAAGAGACAGGCATTCAATTGAAACTCGAAGACATGGTTGACCTAACAGCTTTCCTTGATCCTAGTACTGGCCACCGAGTTTTCCCATCCCCTGTATGTTAACACATAGTTCCTCTGTTCCTGTTTTTGTCTCATTTTCAATAGTTAGACACACTGACTCTTCCCTTCTTCGTTTGGGCGCATGTCAGGGGGGATGTGATGAGGAAATCAGCATGTTCCTTTACAGAGGAAGTGTTGACAAAGAAGTCATCACACAGCTGCAAGGGAAAGAAACTGGCCTACGAGACCATGGTGAGCTCATCAAAGTTCGTGTTGTTACTTATGAGACACTTTGGCGTGTGACGGCTGATGCCAAGGCTTTGATGGCCATTGCCCTATATGAGATGGCCAAGAAACATGGATTGTTGCCTCTTTGAAGACTGTTCCCCCTTGTTCTTTGTTGCTGTACAATCCTTCTAGATATTTTGCTGCAGCCCCTATAACTTTCAGAGTGTACTTGTAAAGTTAAACTTAATTACATGCTATTATGCAACGAGAGACATTTGCAAAAGTATTATTTGGGTTGGATCATTTGCGGGTGAAATTGTGCTAGAAAAATGAAAAGGAAAGATTTAAGTGACCCCTGAAATTATAGTGTTGGGTAAATGTCACATTTAGTCACTAAAATTACTAAATCGTGTCATATTTAGTCACTAGAAAAATTTCATATCAATTTTGGTCACTAGAATTACTGAAATATGTCACATTTAGTCACTCTCTCTTTAGCCTCCGTCCAACTCCAGTCATTCGAGTTACTAAAACATGTCACATTTAGTCACTCGAATTACTGAAACAGGTTACATTTAGTCACTTTCCCGTTAGTTTCCGTCCAACTCCATTAATGAAGTTGAACGGAAACTAACAGGAGAGTGACTAACTGTGATCTGTTCCAGTAATTCGAGTGACCAAAATTTATATTAAAATTTTTTAATGACTAAACATGATACGATTTAGTAACCCCAGTGTCAAATGATTCATTTACCCAAATAATTTGTTATGCCCAAATATTTTAGATTGCAACATCTTGATGCATTTTAGGATTGCAAATTTTGATTTTGAACACACTCATGACTCAACGACCTTGATACACCAAATGAGGCCATCAATGGTTTTATTATAGAGCTGAAGTTGGCAAGCTTAGATAAGCCTCTATTGTACAAATCGTGTCACTGATATCGTATTAGTGTTGTAAAACTGGCAAATGAAAAACATAGAGGATCATACAATACGAGCTGCGTGATGAGAGTTTAATTAGACTCTGGTCGCCACAAAATCTTTATCACTAGATTCCCAAATGGTCGTTCCATCACAAGTGCATATCTTTTTATAGTTCTCTCCAACTCCAGCACTTCTAGCAATGACAGCTGCTGTCAAACCCGCATCTGATTTGTCTTGGGTTTCGTACACTGCTACTGATCTGCCAATCAGATCAACAATTCGTAGCTTTTGTTTGACACCAGAGAAGAAGGCATTCCCCTCCTTATCGGCTTCTAATGTTCTCAGGTCACCAAGTGGCTGCAGACAAACAAAAGGATCATCTTAGTTAGGAAGTTAGTTGAAAGGATTAAGGCCAAATGGTCAATCAACAAGCTGAATATCATAATATTATTGCAGTTGCAGTTGGGTAAAGTTATCCAAACCTCGTTTTCAGAGCTCTCATTTGGAGGATTAAACACCTTTCCTGTGCTGGCTGCACCATTTGTGAGGTCACCAAACTCGTTGATAGACCACCCGTGTTTTCCAGGTGACAACCCACTGAAGTTGGCTTCAATCTTAGCTAATTCCATGTTCACCTGAGCAAAGCGAACCACTCCAAAGATATCTGGGCCTTTGAATTCTGCAACAGCAGCAGACACCAAAAAGTCTGGCATATGCAATAGACAGACGTCAATATGATTAACAAGTTGAACCAACGAATTACAGACTTCATATGTTTTACGGGATACGAGCATCCTATAACAAGGATAATTAATAGAGAGAACAAAAATCGCAAGTAATTAGGATGAGCACTTAAGCCTTTTGCCTTAAATCTAACATTGGACCTGCATTTGAAATCACTGAACAGCAAGATTACTAGATTACTATCTTCTGCAACTTGATACTTTCAGGTTGATGGCTATCTTCTATTTTTTCAGCTCACAACTTTCGCATAAATGTTCAACCTATGCTATGACTTCAATCTTGCAGACAAACATTTGATACGATGCAGAGCTTTAGAAATGTGTAAACTATCTGTGCAGTAGGAGCTATTGAGATTGGAACAAGAACCATTTAAACAAAACCAGGAATTACCCAAATCTGTCGACCTTGAGAGATACAAGATAGCTCTTCAGTTGGCATTTAAGTATCAAACAGATGTTCAGTTGACCTACCTTCAGGCACTCCCTGGCCGATCAGTCGGGCATTTCGACCGGTTTGCTTCAAAGCTTCAGTCATCTCCTTCACAGATGAAGAGCCAAGAACCCTAACCACTTGATTACTCAAATCCACTTCCACATTCTTTACACCTGAAATTACTCTCCCATTCATATAATCATATCAATACAAAATCAATCCAAATCGAAATTAGCCACTTCGTATCAATATGCTATTCTTTCATCCTGAAAGAAGTTACCTTTCACAGTCTGCAACTTGTTCTTCACTGACTTGACACACCCTTCACAGCTCATATCCACCATGAATTCCGTCTATCAATCATGCCAAGAACAACAATTCAATTACATACAAAAAGACATTTCAAGTTGAAAATCCCTAGCCCAGGCATTCAAGTTCTACTAAAAATTTGAAATTCGGAAATGAATTTGGGCGAGAAGAAAAATGTTACAACTTACAAGAAGGTCGGGCAGCAAGTCGCCATTCTCCTGCAATTATGACAGAGAGATTAAAGATTCGAGCTTTAAGGATCCAAATAGAACAATTAATACATAAACAGATTGAGAGAGTTCAGAACTGAAACCTGAGAGGTGGGTTGGTTGTGATCGGAGGTGGGTGCGTCCATGGTGACGGCAGTGAGAGGTTGCGTCCGGTGATTGAATAGGCCAAAACGAGGTGGAGAGAATGCAAAAGAGGAGGAGGAAGAAGAAGAGAGGGAAATGAAAGCAGGTTTGGAGGTTTTAGTATTTCGGGAAGAGAAGAGAGTGAAAGCTGTAGAAGGAAGAATTGCAGAGGCTGCTATGGCTGTCTTGGTTACTGCCGCCGAACTCAGCAGAAATGCCATTCTTATGGTGGGAGAATAGATCGATTCAGAGTCGCACCTCCATTACCCAGATCCTTTTTTTTTTGTTGGTCTTCTGTAGACTTTCTAGAGGCGTCTGGCTTAAATTGGTTAACCTGGTTCTTCTGAATTTTCAATTTTGGAATGATTCAATATTTTGTACGTAAATCAATATATGGAATTATTGATAATAATATAAAATATTAGAGGCACATCTACAAATCTATAGTAATGGTGATTTTGATAATATAACTCTCATACCCATAATATATATATATATATATATATATATATATATATATATATATATATATATATATATATATATATATATATATATATAACTCTCATACCCATAATATATAGGGTTAATATTTTCGTATGGCCTGAACTTTGACCAAAATAAACATCCTGGCCAATCTTTTCGATCTATAACATCCTGGCCCGAACTATACACCAAAATAAACAATTTGGCCAGATCCGACTTTTGACCGTTAACTTGGACGGTCAAATGCGTTGACCGTTAGTCAACGCGCCATGTCACTGTCAAGTCAGCATAAAATATTTAAAATAATTCACAATTTCCACACATTCCCTAATTTTAAATTATTATAAATTAAAAAAAATCATCTAATACCTTAGTTAAACCTAAAATAAAAAACGAAAAAATTAAATATTTATCAGATCTTCTGACTTGGCAGTGACGTGGCGCGTTGACCGTTAGTCAACGCGTTTGACCGTCTAAGTTAACGGTCAAACATCGGGTTTGGCCAAATTGTTTATTTTGGTGTATAGTTCGGGCCAGGATGTTATAGATCGAAAAGATTGGCCAGGATGTTTATTTTGGTCAAAGTTCAGGCCATACGAAAATATTAACTCTAATATATATATATATATATATATATATATATATAGCTCACATCTGTACATCTCTTTTTTTATTTTTTATAATGCACATCTATAGACTATAAAATCTCTTGTAATCGTGATTTTGATAAAGACTATCATGATGTGTGTTCGCTCGGTAACCTATTCAGTACTGTTAATGGCCATCAGTTGGAGGTCTTCTCTCCCAGTATAGGACTAAGACAGGGGATCTGCTATCTCCTTATCTTTTTCTTCTCTGTGCGGAAGGACGAAAGGTCTCTCGACTTTTACGAAGAAGGCGGTGGCAGAGAATAGCTTACATGGGATTCAACCGACAAGGGGTGCTCTTGTCGTCTCCCACCTCTTCTTCGCAGATGACAGTGTATTTTTGGGGCGCGCAACACAAGAGGAAAGCTCTGTGCTTAAAGAAATTCTAAAGGCTTATGAGAAGGAATCAGGGCAGCTTGTTAATTTCCAAAAATCCCAAGTTTCTTTTAGCAAGCATGTGAAGCAACACCAACATTTGATGGTGAGTGGCACATTGGAAATGGCAATGGTAGACAAGCATGGCAAATACTTGGGACTGCCCACCATGGTAGGCCGATCAAAGAAAGAGATATTTGCAGGGCTAATCGATAGGGTGCGTAAAAAGCTGAAGAACTCTAAAGAGAAGTCACTATCAGTTGGAGGGCGGGAGATTCTGATCAAAGCAGTGACACAGGCACAGTTCACGTATGCGATGTCTGTGTTCAGAATCCCTAACTCGATCGTGGAGGAGTACATGGCTTGATTACGAATTTTTATTGGGGACAGAAGGGATCTGAAAGGGGCATCCATTGGGTGAACCATGAGGAGCTGACATGTCCTAAGGATGAGGGGGGACTGGGCTTCTGTAACTTATATGGTTTCAATACGGCACTGCTAGCCAGACAATTATGGAGCATTCATCAGCGACCGAGCTCTTTGATAGCTCGCATTTTCGAGGCAAAGTACCATAAAAAGAGGTCGATTCTGGATGCTAATGTTGGCCATCGTCCTAGCTACATTGGGAGGAGCTTGATGAGTGCCCAAGAGCTGCTTAACGAGGGGATCAGTTGGCGGATCGGGAATGGAGCCTCTGTTAATGTTTGGGGTGACAAATGGTTTCCAGATGGAAATCCATCCTACGTGATGTATGTCCCCATGGGTCTCCCGGTTGATGCAAGGGTTCGTGTCCTTATTTCCCTGGAGTCGGATCAGTGGGATGATGTTGTAATAGATGCTTGTTTCCCATGCGATATTGCCGAACAGATTAAGCAGATCCCGCTGTGAGGCTTGGGCGAAGTGGATAGGAGGATCTGGATGGACACTCCTATTGGAGACTATTCGGCGAAGTCGGGTACAAACTATGACTGAAAGCTTACAAGGAGGCGAATCAAGTGGCGACTTTTGGAGACACGCAGGTACGAAAAAAAAACTATGGACTCTACATATTCCTCCGAAGGTCAAGCATTTCTTGTGGCGGTTTATACGCGATGATCTGCCAACGCGGGACCATATCAGTTTGAAGAGTCCGAAAAGGAGTGACAAATGCCCGTTCTGTGATCTAAAAGAAACCCAAGTGCACTTGTTCTATGAGTGTCAATGGTCTTCGCGTATCTGGCAAAATTCTGACTTGACCGACTGCTTTTCTCGCTGTGGTAACCTGCATTGTTATGAGTGGTTCAAGAAGGTGACGGAAGAGGTTGCACAGGAGAAGTTAGAAAGCTGGAGTGTGCTGCTCTTGTTCCTATGGAAAGAGCGGAATGCTCATCTATTCAATGGTAATAAGCTGCAGGAAAGTGAGATAGCTGCGGGGGCGAAGTTTTTTCTTGAGGATTACCAGCTGCATTAGACAAAGGAAGTAGAGGAAGTGGTGCCGCCTTGCAAGCATTGGCGAAAACCGGATTTGGGGAAAGTGAAGATTAATACTGACGCAGGCTTTAAGGAGGGAGGTGGAATCGGCCTAGGTGTCGTGATAAGGGATGATCAGGGTAGTTTTATTCTTGCAGCAGCAAAGAAGATACCAGGGCAGTGGGATGTGCTAATGGGTGAGGCACTGGCTGCTGAGATGGGAGCAAGATTGGCTCGCCAGTTTGTGACTAAAAGCCCGGTGCTCGAGACCGATAGTCTTACTTTGAAATCTAGACTCTCCGAGGCAGGGATTAATCAAGCGGAGTTGGGTACTTTGTGCCATAGCATTACCAGTATTTTAAATGAGATGGGAAATGGTGTGTGGTGTTACACCCCCCGCGAAGGAAACATGGCTGCCCACATTATGGCGCTTTCGGAGATTGGATGGAATGAGCAGATAGTTTGGGTAGACAATCCACCTATTGTTCTTGTTGAGCAACTTGTAATGGACAACATTGCCTCAAATTCTGCTTAATAAAATTACTGTAGATTTCGATAAAAAAAACTCAACTTAAACGAAACTCACTCCTTAATTATATAACAATTAACAAGAAGTATATCAAGTTACACAAATTTTACCAGTATTTTAAGTATTTATGAAATGTATATTCATTGTAGTTTCAAAAATTCATTTATTATGTAGATTCGGCAAGGGGTGGTAATCGATCGTTACCGGTTATCAGTATACCGATTACGATTGGTGATAATTAATCTGCTGCCCACTGTCGATATCGACAGGAATTCGATTAACCAGCTGATCGGCTAGCCGATTACCGTCACAAGTATGGTTGCTCATAAACCTGGGGAAATCGGGAGCATAGCGGATCAGCATCGGAGGCCAAGCTGCTTCTCCACTCCAAACAGGTCCTTTCTTATTCCCTAATCAATTAAATACTTCATCTTTCCCCTTCACGTGGTGATGGTACTGCTACTGATTGTTCCCATGGTCAGAGTAATCGTTCCTCCAGTCCAGGTGAAACTACTATGGCCGTCAAAAAAAACCGAACAAGACCTACGATTCCTTGATTCAATTGAAGTTCCCCCAGGCGGCAAATTCCATATGTGATTACAAATCGGTAGCGACGACTTCCTCTGAACATGCATCATTGGTCATGAGAAACATGCATCATCTGGCACGAAACTGACCTCGACTTGCTTTGTCTGCCTCGCGGAGAGCTCGCTTCCGATGACATGAAATGGAAGGGAATAAGAGATATGGGGGATTTGATGACGAAAAGGAAGAGTGAGAAAGGAAGGGAAGAATGCGCTATATCTCTTGCCATGGAAGGAGGCAGTGGAGGAGCAGAAACGACTGAGGGGATGGAATCGTCGTGGGTTGTTTCTTCTTCTTCTCTTTGATTTCTTCGGAGAGCAACTCCAACTCCGAGTCGATTCCATTGCCTTCTCGGATTGTTGCACGAATCATGTGTTATCCGGTATATTCGGTATACCGAGTAACCACTGGTAACTAACCGGGTATGAGTCGGTATACCGAATGATGGATTTGTGTTGTCGTATATCGGTACCGCCGATTATTGGTTTATCGACAATCGTCAGTTACAAATACGGTTACCTGTTAAACCATTAGCCGACTAGCCGATTACCAACCCTAAATTCGGCTATGCATATGGTGACTTCCAAGTCACTGTTACTTAGAGAAAATGGTTAACCACTTACAGAAAGTAAGCGGTCAACCAGATGACATGCTTACAATAAAAATCTTATTACAAAGGAAAACAATTATCAATCACTTACTTTCATTGGTCAATCAAATTTAAGAGAAAATGCCGACCTCAACATGACCGATTTTGCGGTCGACCATTACATTGAATATACCGAATTAAAGAGGGGATGCATACACCAAAATAAATTTGCTATACCGTTCGATCGTCTCCTCATACAGGTTGACCACTTTCAATTGAAGACATTAATCAACATGCATGATGCTTGTTCCAATCGACTGTCATGTTGTGGAGATCGAATAAATATGGAAACCAAAATGTTAATTATTGAACTCTCACAAACTACACTATAGATTTGCTAATTCAATCCACAATCATAGTTGTACAAAAACAAATAGTCTACAGTAGACTACTCAATCCACAATCCACAACCCCAACATACATTTTATAGTAGTCCACAAATAGCTCTAACTCAACCCTAATAAAGTAATGGTCAACCAATCAACCGTTTTATTTAAGTTGTTCATTATTTTATTTTTGCAACAAAGTAATTATGGCATTGGATTTAGGCTAATAAGACAGGTGAATGTCACTCTTATTAATCATGGGTAGCAAAAGATTGAGAACGTCATGACCATCGAGATTTTGTTTGTGGCTTATTTTTCTATTTTAAGGATGTAACTGTATATTCTTAAATGTTTCATACACCAAATATTAACTGTTCACAAGCCAGCGGGAGCCACTATCTCCAACTAGGAAGAAAGAGCTCGCTCTACGCGACAGGCAGAACAGGTAGGGGAGACATTAGTTTACTTGAGCTAATTAACCAACAACACACAAAAGACATACAAAATGACACTACAAGAATATTGACTTTTAGCGGCTAAATTATGGTGGCAAATATTGTAAATGCCTCAAAATGTAAACTATAGCGATAGATATAAAATTTGCCTCTAATACCAACAGTCGGTTAGAGTCAAATTATTATTATTATTATTATTATTATTATTATTATTATTATATTATTAAAAGAACAAGTAAGATGTGCACTATTACTTATAGTCATATCAACAATTTTTTTTATTTATCCTGTTAAAAGAACAAGTAAGATGTGCACTATTACTAAGAGTCATATCAACAATTATTTTTTTATTGTTTACTTTTTATTACTTAATTCATTAATTTAATATTTTAATTATTTCATTTTATGACAATTGGACCCAAATTCATGTGTAGTCAAACCTAATTCGATTCGATTTCGGTGTTGCCGAATTTTGGGTCGGCAACAAATCTTACCCACTTTTGTAAATAACGAATTGGGTCGGGTATGACTTTTGTTAAAAATTATATTCAGCCTAATTCAATCTGGTCTTGGTGTTGCCGAATTTTGGGTCGGGAACGAATTTTACTCGGTTTTGTTGGGTTGAGTGTGGATTTTGTTATAAACTCGCTCCGCTTTATCAAGCCAGTCAAGGCGAGTTGAATCCAGTGTTGACAAATTTTGGGCCGGGAACGAGTTTTACCCGCTTTTGTAGTTGACGAGTTGGGTCGAGTGTGGATTTTTTGTTAAAAACCCGAATCGCTTTATCAAGCCAGTCAAAGAGAGTTGAATCCAGTGGTGATTAATTGACGGGTAGGGTCGGGTTTGGATTTTTTGTTAAAAACTCAAACCGCTTTATCAAGCAGCCAAAACGAGTTGAATCCTTTGTTGCTAAATTTAGGGCCGGGTACGAGTTTTGCTCAATTTTACAAACCCTTTTATGGCAGTTGAACCCAGATTCATGTGTATTCAACCTTATTCAACCCGTTAAAGCGAGTTGAACTCGGTGTTGGCGAATTTTGGGTCCGAAACAAATTTCACCTGATTTTGTAATTGACGGATTAGGTCAGGTGTAGATTTTCGTACAAACTCACCTCGCTTTAACAAACCGGTCAAGGAAAATTGAATCCAGTTTTGACGAGTTTTATTCGTTTTTATAATTGGCGAGTTGTGTCAGGTGCGAATTAATTTTCATTTATGATATTAAACTGAAATCCATGTGTATTCAACCTAATTCGACTCGGTCACAGCGAGTTGAACCAGTGTTGATGAATTTTGGATCAGGAACTAATTTATCCCATTTTTGTAATTAACGAATTGGGTCGAGTGTGAATGTTGTTAAAAACTCACCCCGCTTTATCAAATCCATCAAATCAAGTTGAATCCAACGTTGACGAATTTTGTGTCGGGGATGAATTTTACCCAATTTTATAATTGACGAGTTGGATCAGGTGCAGATTTTGTTAGAAACTCGCCCCGGTTTATCAAATTGGTTGGCGTTGATGAATTTTAGTTCATATTTAACTTGCTTTTGTAATTGTCACGTTAGCCCGGGTGTGAATTTTTTATAAAATTAAAAACCCGAACCGCTTTCCATTCGACATGAAGATAAAACAAAAATGCAGGTTGAACTCAGTGTTTACGAGTTTTGGTTCGGGTCACATCACACAAGTGACCATTTCGTAATTGAAAGAAACCTTTAGTGCTTATTTGGAAATTGTGTAGATATTTTGGGTTTCTTTGTGTTTAGTTTCCTTCATGTTGTCTTCCCAGCCACATAACTTTTTATTTCTTTCTCTTTCTTCTCTTTTCCTTTCACGGCGGTGACAACACCGAGCAGAGGCCGACCAGACCCGACCGACGCTGCCGGAACGATG